GGGGAGAGACAGAGGCTGCTCTCTGCCTGGACCTGACCAGGAATCAACCCGAATGCGGGAAATGGGCATGGCTACTATATGGGAAAATATAAGGTAGGGGTGTCAAACTCATTTGTTAGGAGGGCCAGATCTGACATAAATGACTCTTTGTCAGGCTGGGCCATGTGTGCCATAAAACGTAATGCCAGGTACCGGAGATAGAAACTGTATAAAGGACAGCACCTGGTAAGCTCTGAGTTGGTGTGTCCTCACTGCAAGGCCCCCTGGGGTGGGAGGGAGGCAATGCTCCCTCTAAGCTGTGGAGTCTTGTGAGCAAAAATTCTACTCTGTGAGCTGCTGGCATTAAAGTTGTGAGCAAGCGATTTGGCTACTGCATAAATTAGTTTGCTCTGGAGCCCTCCCTTCCTGAGCTGAGACAAAAATGTGTGAGCTGGAGGCTAAAAAACTGTGAGCTAGCTCACAGTAACTCAGCTTAGAAGGAACACTGGAGCGGGGTGCAGAGGAAAACCCACAGAGGTGGACCGGAGAGGCAGCAGTGTGGTGCTGGGCAGACGCTCCCATGGTGCTTGACTGCTACAGGCGAGGTTGTTCTGCTGTGCTGAAGCCCCAATGGAGTGCCTCTGGCCACTCCCCCACCCCCCCAGCTCCCTTCCTTGCATCAGTTGCTCGCGGGCCGCGTAAGGGCCCTGGGCGGGCTGGGTCTGGCCCTCGGGCCTTACGTTTGACACCCCTGCTATAAGGGTCTCTTTGTGGGATTCCCAACTCCCTGAACCCAACCAGTCCCCTTCACTGCTTTCCAAAATCAATTGCGGGCAGCATCACAATCTGCTTCCCCCCCCATCCCTGTAATTGAAGCATCAACAGAGTGGCCTCACTTTCTCAGCACCATAATCGGTGGGATGATATATTTTGGAGGGCCCCGTGCATTAGCCCCTTCCTGGCTTCTCCCCCAACAACTGAACCTTAAGGAGTGGCAACCTGGCAGGTTTCCTTCTTGCTATTCATGGAGGATAGGCCCACCCATTGCCACTGACCCTATGGCTAAATGGGACCTCCATGTTCAGAGGCTGAACTCATGCCCAGTCGCTGAGGGGCAACGACAGGGGGAAGCCCTTTTGAGGGCATCTGGTTGGCCACTGTGGGAAAACAGGATGCAGGACTAGATGAAGAAGAAGAGGAGGATGGATTTGGATTTATACCCCGTCCTTCACTACCCAAAGGAGTCTCAGAGCAGCTTACAAACTCCTTTCCCTTCCCCTCCCCACAACAGACACCCTGTGAGGTAGGTGGGGCTGAGAGAGCTCTGACAGAAACTGCTCCTGAGAGAACAGCTCTGAGAGAACCAGGGGTCATTTCTTGCAGGAGCGCACAGGAGCAGAGCTCCAGCAGTAAAGAGCCCAGGGGGCGGGCACATGCAACAAGCCCCACCCCCTGCTCCCAGCAGCCCTCACTCAGAGCAAGAAGCAGCTAGGTAAGTTGCAGAGCCTTCCCCGGCCCCCCGGTCCAAAACAGTTCAGTGGCACCTTTAAGAACAAGGTTTATTCAGGTACCCGCTCTCCCTCCTCTGCGAGGACAGATCTGCACGCCCCCCCCCCCCCAATAGCTAGCAATCCAAAACAGTCCAGTGGAGACTGAGCGGTGGGTGTTGCCTTCTGACCCAGCTCGGGTTGCTTCAACACTTCCGGTGATGTCAGGGGGTGTGCCATATGCAAATAAGTTATGCTAATGAGCTATGCTAATGAGCTCATGCACCTCTTTTTCTACGAAATGACCCCTGGACAGAACTATGGCTTGCCCAAGCAGGTGCAAGTGGAGGAGTGAGGAATCAAACACAGTTCTCCCAGAGTAGAGTCCGCGCACTTAACCACTATACCAAACTGGCTCTTTTTGTTCTGATCCAGCAGGCCTCTTCTTATATGACGGGAGAACAGGCCAGGACTTCTGTTTATCCATTAAGTGTGGAAAGCTTGGGACACTCCCCGACACAGCCCCACATCAACCTCTCCCTTGCCACCCCCTTTTCTTTTTCTAAACTGGGCATTCATTCACTCACTGGCTGCAGCGGAATGAACACTGGGGTCCCACCGGCCATTTTCGTCATCGGCTCGTAGCAGTCGAAGTACGGCTCGATTATAATCACCTAAGACACACATAGAGACACAAGAGTGTGCAGCAGTCCGAGAACTGAAGGACAAGAGGACGAAACCATCTCGCAGACGGGTTTTCGGCTCCAACCCCATATTCTGAGGGGAGGGCCGTTTCTTAGCAACGAGTCTTAAAGACAATCTAAGTGGAGAGAGGATAAAAGTAAGTTAACACTATTAACGAATCTTGATGTTCTTCAGAGGTGGGCCACATGCCTCCCTGTTGGCACAAAGACTTGATGTGGTCTAGGCTGGAGCCAGGAGTAGGGGGTAGCGGGAAATATGAGGGCCTTTAATCCCCTCCGGCCAACCCCATGGATCCGGGTGCCTAGGAAGATGGGACAAACACATTTAAACAACAGGGTACACACAGGGTGCACACACACCTGAATCAGAACCCCCCCCGTCAGGTCCCGAAGACCTTGGGGTTCGCTTATGTAGATAAATGCAGTCACTCAGCAAAATAAATTCTGAAGACCAGGTTTAAAAAAGCAAACTACTGGATTTAACTGGACAAAAATAGTTGTAGTAAAAGGGATGTAGACAAGCAGAAAACATCCAGTCATAACGAGCAACGGCAAACAAACAAAAAAAAAGGCAGGTAACAGGACCAATGAAAACAATAACTCACTTCTGTGAGGCCAATTCCTTAAAACAGTCCAATATCAGGTAGAAAAAACCGGATCATTTCAGCCCAGAGTATAGCTGGCCCCACCCTGAGAAGCCTAATGGGAGAGTGCCTCGTCACCGTAGCTCCCTCTACTTAGGTCTGTTTCCCTGTCATCCGGCCGCCAGCTGATAAGAATTCAACTCCCTAATTAACCCTTCTGGCTTGCAAAAAGATTAGGGAGGTTTACAAAGACGATTCTCCCCCATAATAAAATCTCACAGCTGAATACAATGAACATGCAAGGCTAGGTCCTACAACCTCTGTTCCTTACACCCCCACGGTCCATCAAGGTCAGCATTGTATACCCCTGACTGGCAGGGCGACTCTCCAGCATCTCAGGCAGAGGTCTTCCACATCACCTACTGCCTGGTCCTTTTTAATTGCCGATCCTGAGACCTTCTGCAGCAGGAGGAGGAGGAGATGATGACGATGATGATATTGGATTCATAATCCGCCCTTCACTCAGAGTCTCGGAGCGGCTTACAAACTCCTTTCCCTTCCCCTCCCCACAACAGACACCCTGTGAGGTGGGTGGGGCTGAGAGAGCTCTTTTGAGGACTGCCCTTAAGAGAACACCTCTGACAGAACTTGTGACTGACCCAAGGTCACACCAGCAGCTGCATGTAGAGAAGAGGGGAATCAGACCCGGTCTTCCCAGATTAGAGCCCGTGCTCTTAACCACTACACCAAGCTGAGGCTCTTTGAAGCTGAGACCTTCTGCATGCAGAGCAGAGGCTCTTCCACCGAGCGACAGCCCCTCCTGAGAGAGAGAGAGAGGTAAGAGAAGAAAAAACAGGAGCTGGGGTGAGTTAATAGTCCCCCTGGCTTCCATGCCCATTTCCAGACTGAGGAGGAGGATGCTCCTTAACCCAGATGCAGGGTCTCAGGAGTGGGGGGGGGAATCAGGGGAGCACCTTCCCTAAATAAATGCTACCCACTTTTACTAAGCTGGGTGATTTAGCCAGGAACGAATGCTATGTTCAGACTTCCTCCTTCCTCTAGCACTAGTAACTGCAGGCAGGCCCAGAGACACAGCCCTTCCAGAAGAGGCGAGACTGCTGCAGCCATTAAAACTGGTGCACTAACCAAGTGCAGGGAATGTGTGGCAACTTCCAGTCAAAATAGTCCCTCCATATTGGAAGAGGTTAAATATGCAAAGGAAGTGGAGCACTGACCGTTTAGAGAAAAAAAATAAGTAGGTTTATTTAAAAAAGAACAAACTGTTATAGAACGTAGAAGAGAGAAAACCTTAACCGCCTGGCCTAACTGCTGTGAGAGGAAGAACAAGCAACAGGGAGCTCTGCAGGAGCAGGAAGTCTCCAGAAGAGCCAATCAGGAGACAGCAAGGACACGATTTGAAATGATGGGCCGTCCCTAATCTTGCTGTGCGAAATACCAGTCCTCCGGTTGTCCCCCTGAAGGGTGATCTTCAGATCTTCTTCATAAGGCTGCATCATAGACCTTGCAGATTCCAACACTCCCAACACAGCTCCTCCCCTGCCTCCCTCCTTCCTTGGTTGGCTGGATAGTGGAGGTCAGAGATACTTTCTCTTCCAAGCCCAGTTTGGTGTAGCCAGTTTGGTGTAGTGGTTAAGTGCGCGGACTCTAATCTGGGAGAGCCGGGTTTGATTCCCCACTCCTCCACTTGCACCTGGCTGGATTACCTTGGGCAAGCCGTAGTTCTGATAAGAGCTGTCCTCGGAAAAGACCACTTTCTGCCAAGAGCTCTCTCAGCCCCGCCTACCTCCCAGGCAGTGTTCCCTCTAAGCTGAGTTAGTGTGAGCTAGCTCGTAGTTTTTTAGCCTCTGGCTCACACATTTTTCTCTTAGTTCAGGAAGGATGGCTCCAGAGCAAACTAATTTATGCAGTAGCCAGATCGCTCGCTCACGACTTTAATGCCAGTAACTCACAAAGTAGAATTTTTGCTCACTAGACTCCACAGCTTAGAGGGAACATTGCTCCCAGGGTGTCTGTTGTGGGGAGGGGAAGGGAAAGGAGTTTGTAAGCCACTCTGAGACTCCTTTGGGTAGTGAAGCGCGGGGCATAAATCCAATCTCTTCTTCTTCTTCAGTGCTGGATGAGGCCCCCAATCCACGGCTCCTCATGTATACAGGAGCAGGCTGTATGTCTGGTGGCATGCAAAGACTCTGTGCGCTCAAATGCCTAAGAAACAACGGCCAGCGGATTGGGAAGTGACACTGGCAATGGGGGCCAAAGCAAAGTTGGGAAAGTTCGGAGATCCGGTTCCTGGGGGGGGGGGGGGTACCCGGCGGTCAGTTCCAGAGAGGGACAAGCGATCAAGTACCTCGTCTCCATCGTCCACCAGAGCCTGGAAGCAGCAGAAGAGAGCCTCGTAGGCCCCAACTGTCACCAGCACGTTATCCAGCGGGTCAAGCTCTCGGCCCAACAACTTCCCAAAGAATTTGGCCAGGATGGTCACCAGATTCGGCTGTCCCTGGAGTACAAGGGCAGGACTTCAGACAAGCAATCCGAACCGGACACAGGCAAGGCTGTAGAAGCCCCCCCCCCAACACACACGCCCACTTTGAATTCACGTGGCACAGAGTGGCAGGGAGGGGTTTCATTTCACCTGCTAGGCACTTACCCACCCTTCCTCCAAGAGGCATGATTTGGCTCCTCCTCACTAACAACAACCCTGTGATATAGACCCATTGGACCAATAAGATTTTCAGGGCAGAAGCTTTCGAGAGTCAGTGCTGCTTTCTTGGCCTCTCTGGTGCTCCTGGACTCCGGCCTAACGGTTCGGCTGCAGACCAGCCCTTTCGCCCTCTCAAGCGACCTGTGATGTAGGTTACACTCAGAGTGCAATGGACCCAAAGAGACTCAAGGCAGAGGGGGAATTCGAACTTGGGAATCCTTGCTTCTAGTAGGGTTGCCAATCCCCAGATGGGGTTGGGCGATCCCCTGGTTTGGAGCCCTCCCCCCACTTCAGGGCTGTCACAAAGTGGGGGGGGGAGAATGGCCGCTGGGCACTCTATTATACCCTATGGAGACTGGTCCCCATAGGGTATAATGGAGAATTGATCTGTGGGTATCTGAGGCTCGGAGGGGGGCTGTTTTTTGAGGTAGAGGCACCAAATTGTCAGCGTAGCTGGTGGTGCCTATCCTCAAACCCTCCCCAAGTTTCAAAAAGATTGGACCAGGGGGTCCAATTCTATGAGCCCCAGAAGAAGGTGCCCCCATCCCCCACTACTTCCAATGGAGGGAAAGCATTTAAAAGAAATGCGGTCCCTTTAAATGCGACGGCCAGAACTCCCTTCGGAGTTCTTCCCTCCCCTTCCCGGAATCTCCTGGTAAGTCCCCCGCCAGCTTGTCGGCCTCATCCGGCAACCCGAGTGACATCACAAAAGTGATGCCACATCCTTGCTCCTGGCTCCACCCTAAAGTCTCCTGGCTCCACCCCCAAAGTCCCCAGATATTTCCTGAGTCGGACCGGGCAACTCTCGCTCCTCGTCAGATGCTCTGCCCCCTGCCACAGCACTCAGGGTGACATGAACAAACGACGCTGCCTTTGCAAGGTTATGCCTAGTTCAGGTCTTATCTACTCTGAATGGCAAGAGTTCTCCGGGGTCTCGGTTGGAGAAAGATCTTGCCCAGCGCAAGCTAGGTGGGATCCTTTGCACTGGCAAATGCCAGGGACTGAACACGGGCAATTCGTACAGGGCTCTGCCGCTGAGTCGAAGACCCTCCCTCAATGTTACACATGGTCCCTTCAAAACGATCGGCTCTGTGGCACAATGGAGCGTGCGCAGAGGCTGTATGAAGAGGAAGCCATTCGGAGGTTGGGGAGTTCAAGTCCCATCAGACCCATGACTGTGGGCTCAGTGGAAGCTCAGGCGCTTTGCCTGGAGGAGGCCCCAGAATCAATTCCTGTAATGTTACTAGTTATAGGTACGATGTGTAGTGCAGGGCTCTTTTTGTAGCAGGAACTCCTTTGCCTATTAGGCGACACACCTCTAATGTAGCCAATCCTCCAAGAGCTTACAGAGCTCTTCTTACAGGGGCTACTGTAAGCTCTTGCAGGATTGGCTACATTACGGGTCTGTCGCCTAATATGCAAAGGAGTTCCTGCTACAAAAAAGAGCCCTGGTTGTATGTGTTATCTAAAATAAAAATAAAAAAATATTTAAAAAAAGAAAAAGAGAATCAATTCCTGGCATCTCCAGTTGAAAGGACCAGGCGGTAGGTGCTGCGAAAGACCTCCACCTGCAGAGCGGCTACCGGTCAGAGCAGACAACACTGAGCTTGGGAATCCACGGGCCCGGCTCAAAACAAAGCCGCTTTATGAATGAACGTCAGCCAAGCTTTGATCAATGAAACTTCTCAAGGGTCCCCCACCCCAGCCCCCCAAGGGCAGGGAGAGGAGCCAGAAAGGAATGCAAAAGCACCGGCCACCTTCCTTGTTTACTGATCTTCAACCTCACCTGTCTTTTCATGTCCCTTGGGAACTGGGAAGGAACAATCAGTTGCGGAGGCAAAAACAGATATATTGATGACAAGTGATGGAGAGAGGTGTCCAGAACATTTTCTCTCCTAATCCTAATATCTGTCATTCATATCAATTCCTATATATTCACCCTCTCCTTTATTTATTTCAATATTCACACTCATTCTTGCACTCAACCATTGATTAATTAATATTCCCACTCATTCTTCCACTCACAGATTCCCCAAATTCATTCCATACCACCTTTCACCTAATCAAATTTAATCTCCCCGTTAATTAATTGATATACACATTCCTTCTCACTTTCAAACATTTCTCCCTTACTTAAATCTTTTCCACCTTCCCATTTCCATCTCATCTCTACTAATAACATTATGTGTAATAATGTCAGGATTAATTGGTAAGATGACCTCAAAACCATGTTAATATGTGATAATTAAATGCTAGTGAAAAGGTTAATTAATTTAAAGGGTAAATGGGAAATTTGATAATTTGAAAAATTATATAAAAATTTAATTTAATATTGTGCCCCTGTGCTGTATGTAAGGGAATCAACAAGATGCTTAGGAGTGAAATAAGGTTATACATCATTTGAATGATTGAAATTATCAGTAAGAACTGTCAAAGATAGATTTAGAACTTTTTAACGCAGTTATGAATGTAAGATTAAGGAGAAGAGTAAATTGGTATAAAAGAAGAGTAAAAGATTGGCTTCTCTGTGCTGCTGTGAAGAAAAAAGTGATGTCTTAGGAATTTTATAAAGTAATCTTGTTGTTTAATGTGTTTATATGTACAGCATTGGTTCATAATAGTAAAAACCCAATAAATATATTATATTAAAAAAAAAGAGAGAGAGAGGTGTTCAGCACCTCTGTGATGCCATTCCAACCCTTTTTGGTCTCCCAGGGAAATGTTCAGAACCCTTGGGCATTTTAACCTGGTTGACACATGGCTACTGTTCACTGGATGTGTGTCACGTGTTTGGCAGCACACACAGATGAGGGGGGGGAGCAGCAGGGAAGAAGCAGGGGTAGGGAGCTCCTCAAACTTGACCCTTTAACCCTTTATCTGCCCGCTACTTCCATCCTGCAATTTGCCTCCACTTTGCAGCAGAGAAGCAGCAGCCCGTGGTCCAAGGACCCGCCTTTCCTGCCAAACGCTTAGGTGCGGTTCACACATGCAGGAGAATGACGAGGAAGAGCCCTGAAACGTCAGAAGGGACTGCATCTCACTGCAGTTGAGGGAAGTCCAGCTTTGGGTTTTCCTTTGCATTAAAAAAAAAAAACCCCAAACCACTCCCCGAGAACCAGCACAGCAGGGAGGAAAGCTGCTGTGCTCATTTTCTACTTGCAGGTGAGTTTTTAAAACCTAGGGGAGCATTCCAAAATGCGACCCTCCCCCGGCCATCTTCAGTGGCGCAATCCGTTCCACCACCACTATGTTGCCACCTCATTCTCTGGTGTGAACCAGACCTTAGTTCAACTGTTACAACAACCCAAACTGGAGCGTGGGAGCCCGCCCGAGAGAAGGAGGAGACCCTCACTCACGAAGGCCCGCGTATACTGGTGTATCAAGGTATCTTTTTCGCTGACCACGTCCACGAATGCTTCCCTTACAAAGTCTGGCGGGGGAAAGTTAGGGAAGCCTTGGCCGAGGTTCACCGTCTTGTACGTGGCGGCCAGTTTCACAAACTCCACCCTAAGGAGAAGAGAACACAACAGAGATTGAGTTCCAGGATTTCTAGGGGCCTTGGTAACCTAGTGGGACCACAGTGGCTCAGAGGTTAAGACGCTGAGCTGTGGACCGGAGGGTCTGTAGTTCAGCAGTTCGAGACTCTAGTGCTGCATGACGGAGTGAGCTCCCGTCTCTGGCCCCAGCTCCTGCCAACCTAGCAGTTCGAAAACTAGAAATTTCAAGTAGATAAAAAGGCACCACTTCGGTGGGAAGGCAACAGCATTCCGTGTGCCTCGGTGTTTAGTCATGCCGGCCACATGACCACGGAAACGTCTTCGGACAGCGCTGACTCTTCGGCTTGGAAACAGAGATGAGCACCGCATCCCTAGAATCAGATTCTACTAGCTTTCGAGCAAGGGAAATCTTTATGGCAACCTAAACGCCAGCTAATTGCAAGGATGTGGCACTTTTAAGCTCCCTGTGGATCAAACTTTCAATCTTCCCCTATACCTATCAGCAAAGACGGTCCAGAGTAAAGGTGTCCTGATGAGTCGGGAGGCTAAAATGTGGTAAGCTGTTACCACGAAGGGGCAGCGGGATGGTTCTGCTCAGCAGAGGGGGATTTGCAAAACAGCGACGGGAAAATGACAAACCCAGAGGGGCAACAGGAAGAGAGGTTTACAGGTTAAACCTCCGGGAAGGAAGAACATCTGGCTTTTAGAAGATTCAGGAGCGGATCCTCTATTTTCTGGGCTTGGTATCGACTTGTACACACAGCCCCTCAGTGTTCCCTCTAAGCTGAGCTAGTGTGAGCTAGCTCACAGTTTTTTAGCCTCCGGCTCACACATTTTCGTCGTACCTCAGGAAGGGTGGCTCCAGGGCAAACTGATTTATGCAGCAGCCCAATCGCTCGCTCACAACTTTAATGCCAGCAGCTCACGAAGTACTCCACAGCTTAGAGGGAGCATTGCCCCTGACCAAAGACTGTTCCAGTCCCATGACTCATGTGTTTCTAAAGGTCATAAACAGACAGACCACAACCTGGGTCTCCTTGGATCTACCGGTTCCCGGTAGAATATACCTCTTTCCCCCGCCCACCTCATGCTCCATCCTGCAGCAGCCGCCACAGCTGGGAGGGTAAGAGCAAAGGGCTGATTATCCTGTCTAGCAACAGGCCGCTTGTCAGCGCTTTGCCCGGTACAGAAGTATTCGGTGAATACTCCTATCACTGCGTAGGGTGTGTACATGGTGGGGGGGAGAACCAACAACCACGCGCAGCTAAAGATGGGGGCACATTTTAACTGCAAGTTGTTTTGTGGGCCAACTGGGCTGAAGAGCGAGGCATAGATACATTAAATAAAGATTCCAGGACAGGCAGACCGGGGTGGGGGGTGGGGAGACAGCTCCAGATCATTAGCTGTTGTAGATTTTCCGGGTTGTATGGCCGTGGTCTTGGCCAAGACCACGGCCATACAACCCGGAAAAACTACAGCAGCTAATGAACTCCAGCTGTGAAAGCCTTTGACAGCTTCAGGTCAGTTACAAAAAAGACAGCATCTTGTTCCGTGTGCTATCAGAGCGAAGAGATCTTTATGAGCCCAGGCAGCAGGTTCATTCGACCCGTAATTCCTCCTAACTGGGCCTTCAAGGAGGCGGACCAGATCTATCCCCACCCAAACACAGGCCTTCTCAGCTCCTGGCAGGGGTCATTTCCTCCAGGAGCGCACAGGAGCGGAGCTCTGGCAGTAAAGCGCCCAGGGGGTGGGCACATGCAACAAGCCCCCCTGCTCCCAGCAGCCCTCAGTCAGAGCAAGAAGCAGCCTGGTAAGTTGCAGAGCCCCCCCCCTCCCCCCCCCGCCCCGGTCCAAAACAGTCCAGTGGCACCTGTAAGACCAAGTTTTATTCAGGTACCACCTCTCCCTCCTCGGCGAGGACAGATCTGCCCGTTCCCCCCCCCCCATAGCTAGCAATCCAAAATAGTCCAGTGGGGCCTGAGCCGTGGGTGTTGCCTTCTGAAACACTTCCGGTGAGGTCAGGGGGTGTGGCACATGCAAATAAGTTATGCTAATGAGCTCCTACACCTCTTTTTCTACGAAATGACCCCTGGCTCCCGGTCTTACTGATTTTTAGGCAGTTTTGTAAATGTTCTCTGTGAAGGCGTTTGCAAACCGTTGAGACGGCAACGTCAGCTTTTCGGTTCAGCTGCCTTGGGTGATATGTCGCTGCTTATTGAGGTTTTACTGTCTTTAGTGATGTCCAGGGCTTTTTTTTGTAGAAAAAGCCCAGCAGGAACTCATTAGCATAATAGGTCACACCCCTGAAAGCACAGCTCATTAGCATATTAGGCCACACCCCATGCCTTCCCTTGGCTTGCCCAGGCGCCCCGCAGCTGCAGGGAGCCCAGACAAGCCGGCCCTCAGACAGGCCGGGGAAGGCAAATGCCTCCCTGATCCTTCCAGGGGGCCCCCTGGTCCACCCGCCTCAGAGTTGCCGGGGGGGTGGGTCGCTCTCCAGGCCTTCCCTCTGTAGCCAGGCACGCACAGAGGTTTTGGCTGTAGTGGGCATGGCCAACTCTGAAGCCAGCCAGAACTCCGTTCCTGTGCGCTCCTGCCCAAAAATAGCCCTGGCGATGTCAATTTTGAATACAGGAAGCTGCCTTCTGCAAAGTGATATTATGGGTCCATCAAGGTCAGTATTGTCTACTCAGACTGGCAGCGGCTCTCCAGGGTCTCGGGCAGAAGGTCTTCCACATCACCTACAGCCTGCTCCTTTCTAACTGGAGATGCCGGGGATCGAACCTGGGATCTTCTGCATGCCATGCAGAGGCTCTGCCACTGAGCCGCAGCCTCCCAGAGGTCTGGGTATTCTCGTTTCGTAAATCACTTCAGAACCTCTTCAGAAGGCGAAGGCGGGGCAAAAAATATTTCGATAAAGGAATTCGTCACTTCAGTGTATGTAAATGGTAGGCCTAAACTGAAAAGTCTTGGTTTGAAGCTGCCTCAGCTTAGGGGGTTTTTAGCCATCAACTGAATTACTTTGTGAATCTGCCTTGAGCAGAAGGAGTCTTACTTTCACGTGGAATCCAAAGAAACTGGGTCGTTTCACAGAGGGTTTGTAACAGGCCCGTAGCTAACGCAGGGCCCACGTGGCCGGGCCCCCTAATGTTTCTTCCGGGCCCTCTCCCTCCCGGGCTGGCCCCAAATTGAATTAATGTAATTAACTATTATTTAATTAGCTGCACCCTCCCAGGCCCCCTCCCCCAAAAATCCCTAGCTACGGGGCTGGTTTGTAACAGAGGTAAATCAGAAGGGATGGTGTTTTAATCTGTCACTAGAATCCCCCCCCCCGCTTTAAAAATCCAACCTGCTCCCCGCCCCCTCTGTTTCAGGGCAGGAGATAATGCTGTGTTTAAAGAGCCAGAATGGTCCAGTTTGGCCCCAAGACGAGCCACACCCTGCAAGAGGGAGGAATGCCACCCTGAGCCCCCACAAGTCAGCAACGTCCAGGGCCACTGATGGAAGGGTGGGGGGTGGGCAAACCATTCCCCGCAACTGAGCCCAGCCCACCCAAGGAACCAGTCTCAACAGGAGCGTACCAGATGTTCTTGTCCGCACCTTCCAGCCTCCGAGCCTTAGAAACTGTGGACATTTTTGCCTAGAGGAAGGGGGAAAGAGAGAGAAGAGTCAGAACGGTCAATAGCCATTATGGGGCCCTTCAGATCAGAGACATCCATCTCCCACTTCTGCCCTTTTAACATCGCTTGCCAGCATTCAGAGTGGCGTTTTATCCGCTCTCAAGATCATAGTCGCCGCGAGTGAAAATGCTCTTCCCAACGCCCCTGGTTTTCATCAAGGCTTCTGTAACAATTCCTTGTTTATATGCGTGTGTGTCTTTAAAAGTTTGGATGCATAGCTGTATGAAAGTCTAGTGTGGTTGAAACAGGCAAGTGGTGTGAATGGTGAGTGACAGAGAGGGGGAGGGGTTTTGGAAGTGATGCTGTGTGGATGATATTTATGTCTGTCAAGAGTGACAGTTAGGGAGATGACTGCGGAGAAAGACAGTTAAGAGTTAAGTTCTGTCTCTGAGGGAAGGAGACTTATCACTGTGAAGCAGTCTTGTGTGATATAAGAGTTCTGAGTTAAATATTTGTGTGTGAAAGGAGAGACATTCAGTTCTGTGTTATAGGAGTTACAATTGAAAGCTGAGAGTCTAGGAAAAAGTACAGTGAAAAGTGTTACAAAGTTGCTTGAAACCTCCCTGTCAGTAAAGGAGAAGCTTGTGAGAGACACCAAGCATTTGTTCAAATCATTCCCAGTACTGTTTACATTGTTTACCCTTGTATTTATGCTTTCTTTAAATAAATCCTATTTCCTTCAAGTATACCAGCTCAGTAAAGAATCCTTCCTCAGACCACATAGTTCCTCAAAAGCCTAAACCCTCGAACTACCTACCCAGTAATATCAAGAGTAAAACATAAAGGTTTGGAAATCCTTTTTAAAATTTCCTGGTGGCAGCCGGATACCCAAAGTAAAATAAAACATAAGAACACGTTTAAAGGAAAACCAGACCTCCCCAGTTAAGGGGTCGTCACAGCTTCCCACTAGGGATAAGGGCAAGGCAGGTTTACGGCGCTCCATTAAAAAAAAAAATCGTTTTCCCCCCCTTGGGAACAGCTAGGGCGTTGATCACACACACAATTAGCCGCGCCATAGGCGCGAAACGCTGGGCTGATTTAAAGGGTGCGATCAGACACGAACATCTGGGAAGCGCCCAGCACCTGTCGGCAACCCGTTTTGCTCTGCCACAGAAGCGGAGTAAAAACACACTGAGGAACATCCAGTAGCAAACAGGTTGCTACGGGCCACGGAGGGACTTTCACCTGCCTGTTCGCTTCAGTGCACTCTCATGGTGTCGGGATGGTCTTATCCCGACTCTGTGCCGTTGTTTACCCCCCCCCCCCTGGTGTGTTTTTCTCACAG